GCATCCCAAGACAGGATCCATCAACGGTAAAAGCTTTATCTTTTTTCAAGCATATTAATTAGACGTTAGCCAGCAGTAAGCAGTCCTATTTTTGCTAGTAGTGCCTATCCGACAATTGTTTGACATATAAGTGAACCCCGTCTCGAATGAATTCACCGCGGCGTCCAGATAGGCAATGTCGGAGCAATTTTAGGCTTCCTAGAGCAAACCTTTCGGCTCTGCAACGCGATTCTCGAAAAAATGCTTTCAGGCTCATGACGCTGCAATAAAGCAGTCCATATCAGGTTGAGGTGGTTATGAAAAGAAGGGAAATTAGGCAAAGTTTCTTGACCCCAATTTTACAGAATCCTTGTTTTCAATACGGGCTATCTGTCGTCAGGTCATGAGTAAGATGTTCAGAAATAATCAAAAATGTAAAGTTTCTAGCGATGCAAATTTAAAATTGCACTTTCTTTATCGTAACGACTTTTCCATTCATTTCTATCGAACGGAATTCAGGAGCTCGCAATGTGCGAAGGCCTAATGATATGTGGAGGTATAAGTAACAAAAAGACATTCAGCCCAAATTCTGGTGTTTTCAGATTCAACCTTGGCGTTCAGTATAAGCAGTTGACAGCCCCTTCGACTGATCGCCACGATTTCTTAGGTCAACCGGGTACAGTAAACGCTTGGTATCAGGTTTGCCGCAATTTGTGCTCTCAACTTCTGTAAATAGACCCTTCAAATACAAGCCGTTCTTCTCCGATGATTGTGCGTTCAGCCCGAATTGAACTCCATCACCTTTCCTGCCGGTATCCTTCAACCTCCATATTTCCATCCTAAATGGCCGGCTTCAATCAATTATGGAGGAATGGGTCTTGTTGCAGGTGATTCTTTCCAAGCCTCATGTTCACTATGTTGTATAACACGACCACTTTAGGGCACGAACTAACTCACGGATTCGACGACGAAGGTGTCCAGTGGGGACCTGGAGGAGAGATCGCATTCCCAGCTAACGCGAACTGTAAGGGTTGGATGGACCAGAATTCAACTGCGGGCTTTACAAAGATGGCAGGATGCGTTATCGAAGGTGTGTGAGTGTATTATATGTACACTACAGGGTGGTCCAAAATTATGAGGACCGCGTGCGCGCGCAGTCATATCCACTTTTTTCCGAGTCGCTCCATTTTCATCTCCTTTTCTGTGCACTATGTGAAAGGGTACAATGTCTTCTTCCTAATGAAACCAAATTTCATGAAGTTCTCAAAACTAGTGAAATAACTACTTCACTTTAGTCAGTCCTCAAATTGAACTCACTAGGGGCTCTGGCACGTTACATCTAGCAGCAGTCTAACCTATCAGGAAGCTCTTATGAGCAACAGTTCAACTCTTCAATAAGTTTGGAACCACCACAGATGGAAAATTCGGGGACTCGAAAGTTACAGTTACCACCAGGATAATTATCAGATGCAGAAACTAGGTCTCCCCTTGTCGACTTTCGTACTCCCAAAATGAAAAAATTGATGTGAAAACCCAGCCAGACACTCTAAAGACTCCACATCTGTAGTGGATAGAGAGCCACACCAGACATTAGCAAGCGTTGGGCTGATGTTGTGTAGTAATTGTAATCCGAACAAATGAATAATTATGGTGCCTCCTGCTCTAACTGCGCGAAAATCTACAGAAAACAACAGACACACCAAGCAAGAGGCAGTGGAGATAGGGAGAAAGGACTGCCTTTTGTGCACACTAAAAATTTAGCGAACTAGTAAAGAAACAATCCCAGATCAAATTGGTGGGGCAGTAGCGGTCGCTAATAAAACTGTGCACGCTGAGCTGACTGAAAATTAAAATACAAAGGACGTGTCTGGACGAGTTTTCTGGTCTAGGTTGCTCCATGGGTCCACTAACCCGCGCGTATTTTCGATAGCCGCTACATCGTAATCCACGTCATGGGGTGGTATCTTTTGCTCCATCTTTGCCTTGCCACCTTTATCGCGCAGTATTGACAACGGCAATTCTGTAATTCATGGGCACCTCTGTCTTAACTACCGAATAGATTGCTCCACACAACCTCATCTGCGGTTATTTGTCCAAAAGAGTACTTCATGATAAGGACGGAGATCGGAGAAGATTAAATATACCAAAGACGAAAGGCAGGCAGGCCTTCCAAGGGTGCGGAACGATGCGCGCTTTTCGGTGAATAGTATGCACTCAGCAGGGCCATACCCGCAGAGGTTGAATTCTTCGGAGGGATGGCTTTCTTGATATAATGGAAAGCCTGTCATTAGAAATATGATGAGTTAGACGAAAATATCCAGAATCCGCTGTGTCAGGAGCGATAGTACACACCTCTTCCTCTGCCACCGGCCATTCCTCACCCCCCCCCCTCTCTGCTTGAGGCTGAGGAATTGCTGAGGTTTCGGTGAGGACTCCAAGTGTGTGGAATGATAGTGCTTCAGCGACACAATCGACCACAATGACCGTTGGAGTTGAGGAACCCCGTTGCAGCGGGTTTCTCAACGTAGCGGTGGACCCCTTGCTAGCGCGCTTCGCCGTATTAGGACATCACTTCCCCTCAGTGGGAAGATACTGTGAAGGCAGGTTGCAGCGTAAGAGGAAATCATGTGAAGAGGAGCAGAATTAGCCTTTGTCAGTTCTTGAGCTGAGAATCTCCAATGATGCGCATCAATTGTTTTGATTATGAAGAAGACACGCAACTACGATAGCAGGCGTTCCAAAAGTCTTCAGTGATGGCCTATAGGTGCATTTATTTCAGAGTATAATAAATTCTGCCCCCTTGACCCCAACAAGTACACTCCCAACT